GGAAGGAAGGAAGGAAGGAAGGAAGGAAGGAAGGAAGGAAGGAAGGAGGCCTCATCAAACATAAATCCTTATTCATCTTTGGGGAGGCAGGTGGGCAGTCTAGCTGCTGACTTTAAATGATGAGTGCTGTTATTAGAAAGTGAATCTTCTCTCAAAACTGTGAGGATGGGATTACTGGTCTCTTATCTGAGCCCTGGGGTCAGGCGATTCAGTACCCAGAGTGTTGAGGTATTACAAAGGGAAGAAAGTTCATGAGGCGTTTAGCATGAACACCCGCCACAAGCAATGAGGTCTGCACTCCATGACCAACGCCAACACTTCTGCAGCACCCACGATCATCCGCACTGACCAGGGAATGACTTCTAAGCCTCCTAGTTTGGGTTGGATTTAGCCAACAGTTGACAATGCTGCACACTTAGAAAATCGTAAGGGAAGAGAACCATGTTTGGTTTTTAGAGCTATTTGGATTCAGAATTGCAGCTAACAGATAATGCACCTCTATTATCGTCGTCATCATCATTTATTTCATAGATAACAAAATTAAGGCACAGGGAGACTTTGCCTGTGGATACAGAAGCATTGCATAGCTCCATGTCTTTTTCCTTTAACAGAAGCTCATCTTTCTATTCTCTTATGAAAGGGGAAGTTAGACTTTTATGTGCTCCTAATTTACAGCATTGGGGCTCTTTTAAGAATGAACTTCAAATGTATACAATTGTTGGTGGGACAGCATGGAGCTCAAAAGAGTCTTGCTAAACATGGAATTACTCTATTTTTTATTGACTGGTGCTTGCATAAAGAAAGCAAGTTACAGTTTTGGAAAAAAACAAAAACAAAAACAAAAAAACAATGGGCTAGGAGGAAGGCGACCTGGGCTTTCCATCAATATTGTTGGTCAGTAAGGCTCTGAGGAATGCAAGGGTAAGCAATTGCTTTCCAGCATGGCTTGCTAAGGATTCTGTAAGGGCCTTTGTAATTTAGCCTACCTACCTCTGGTCCTTCTAAAGCCTGGCTCTTCCTTACTGCACTTTTCTCAGCTCGTGTTTTACTAATTCAAACTTATTTATCTGTCTATTTATTTATACATTTATTTATTTTTATGTGTATGAATGTGTTTTTTCTGTACATACGTATGTGTATCGTGTTCATGACTGGTGCCTGTAGAAAACAGAAGAGGCCCTCGGTTTGATTCCCCTAAAATGACTTACAGATGGCTGTGAGCTACCCTATGTGTTGAAGGAACCAAAATCCAGGTCCTCGGCAAGAGCAACATGTCCTCTTAGCTACAAAGCCCCCAAGCCATCTCTTCAGCCTCTGATCCAAACTTTTCAAAACAAACTCTTTAAACATATCATCCATCCATCCATCTCTACAATTCAAGTGTGCTATTTACCATCTGGTACACTCTGTTTTCCCCTTTGTTCTCTGTGTCATGCCAGGGCAATTTAGAGATCTCCAGATAGCCCTGTATCTGGGATGGTACCTTTCCATGGTCTCCAGGGCTGGCAATGAGTGTTTCCTATTCGACTAAATCAAAATATTTGACCAGGGCCCAGATGCATTCTCTTGATGATTTCTGGTTAACCCACCAGGCCTGTGACACAGAAACTGGAGGAATGAAGTGCGATGGCAGGATCCTTCTTTGCAAAGCCAAGTCTCGATCACTCCATTTCCTTTACTGTTGGCAAATTTGCTCTAGGATGACATTATGGTTTTCTATGATTTTCCAGATCTAAATTCAGTCTCTCTACCCTATCATGTATTAATAATTCCTTAGACTTGGCCACCTCTTTATCCCTTACCAAATAGCCTCGCCGTCTCTTCCAGCTTTATACAAGAGAGCAAAAATGGGATGTGGATTCACATCAATAATTTTAAACACCTTGGTGACTCACATCAGCAGAGACTGCCATTTGGACACCTAGAGTGTTTTCAATATTATTTTTTTTCTCTGATTTCCAAAATCCATCTTTAATTTCTTCTTCAACCCTAGCTTGAGGTTTTTTAACTCTAAAGTCTAACTGATGCTTTTTTAAATTATTTGTGCATGTAGATCTCTTTTGTTTTAATCAGCTTTACAGATATATAATTTTCTGTAAACTGTAGCAGTTTTAAAGTGGTTAAGTTGGTGACTTTTGAAAAAGGTGCAGAGTTGCATAATCACAGTCACATTCCAAATAGAGAATAGTTCCTGTCTCTTCTCAGAGAATCTTTGACTCTGCTATTACCCTCACCCAAACACTTGGCCCCAAGCAACCATCTGCTTGCTTTTTGCTATCGTTTCAGCTTTGTAAAATGCCATACAAATGGGCAGATAGACTACCTAATGTCCTGCAATGATACTTTTAAAAACTGTGCATACGTTTTTCCATAGGTCAGCATTCTATTTTATCTAGCAGGGAAACTCTGCTGTTTATCATTTCCTCATTTCCAGTTTTCTCTACTATGGATAAATTATATACATAATTTATTGTGAAGACATGAATTTATTCTTTTCTTAGA